TGGCTAAGCATCTTGATTAACAAGAATTGCAACTTCTCCAAATATATGTAACTTATTACATTTGTGACATTTCACATGATAGTTTCATTTCATGTCAAATAATAAGGTACATATTCACCTTATTTACCATATTCAAATTTGAACAATTGAATCAACCGTAGGTTGAAAAGTTGTGTTCTCAAAAGACACAATTCTATAAAAAAGACACACCTCTTGGAATAATCTCTATAAAGAGACATACCCATTGGAAAATAATTATATCAAAAGTCATGATTTTCCATATAAAAATTTATAAACACAAGTTAATTGACAAGAATAGACATAGTTGCAATTTATCACCATATCAGTGTTCCTTTGTTCAAAGACCCAATTAATATGCAATCTTTCATATTTAATGGATTTTTCTATAGTATGTACAATAGCATTAGAAAGTCAATTTCTTTCTTGACTCCCCAAAGAAGTAGCCGTTTACCATTACAAGCCACAGTCATTGGAACCACCGTAAGTGGGCACTTTCCATTGCCTTCTCCATTTGGAAGAAAATATTTTTCCCACAAAATTTGCTAAAGTCAGGCTATACTTACCCTTATTGTCTTTAGTTCCTTTATAAAATACAAAGAGAAGTGATGGTACCCTTCAACAAAACTTTATTTCATACCCTCTCACTTCAGTGATGAATTTATAAAACCAAATAGATTCAGGTGAGAATCCCTACCCAAGTTGAATTTTCACTTTACATTCTATGAAAAACCATGCATCTTCGGTATGTTTCTATACACTTCAATTATACTGTTCTAATTTCGCACATATAGCAAATAACCAATGGGCTATGGTGCATTTCATTATGACATAGCACGTAATAGTGAAACATTGATTCGATTTAAATAGAATATATCCACCCGTAGGATTGGAACTATAAAATTCATATCCCATTTCTGCCTTAATAAATTATTCACACAACATAGATTAGAACATCAATTTCTATGCAATATGATTTTTTCTATTTAATATATGTCAAATTCAGATTAAAGTAAAGGCAGATATTGAATCTTATTAAGTTAGAGGCACACAACTTTGAGACAATTCAACATGCATGATCCTGGTGCCCATGAAAGTCATTATTTAATGAAACGACATCTTAGACTTGTTCAAAATTAAAACCAACTTTCATGATTTTGACTAATTTTATGGAATAACTGCAGCCACATAATAATTCACAGATTCTTATGCACAATGAATACAAAAATTTCATCTTAAGATTGTTGGGGAATACACCGATTCAAATGTGTATATTATATTCACAAAACGTAACTTACACGTTCATGAAATCGAAACAAGGTTTCGACTTACCGAAATATAGTTGGAAAAACCAACCAATGATTTTTGAATCTAACAATTTTCATTCTTGAATCAAAACATGTGATTCTTCATATCGAACCTTGCATAAACCATATAAATAAAATTAATAATTTTCTGAAATCAAGTATGAAGAAATGTAATCAGAAATAAGAAAAAATTAAATGCAAGTGATGTTATTGGCCGAGGCGAGTATAACTCTTTCTTTAAGATGAATTTGTCCCGCATCGGTGCTAACGATTTTTCGACAATCATCTCCCAAGATACAACGATCACGTCAAGTCATAGGAGCACTCCAAATGGTTTCGACCAACGAACTCGAACGGAATTCCCTCTCTACCATAACAATGATTTTGATGCAAAAGATAATCACTTCTACAAAGTGTTTTATATAACTTAACATGAAATGAATAATATGAAATTATGGAATGAATTGGAATGACAAATACACATCCAAGGGGTTCTATATATAGAAGATGAAAGGTTGTGGGTGAAGGGACACATCCAAAATCCAGCATTTTTCATGAAAAGTTGCAACATTTCATTTCAAACTTGCATCCTTTCGAAAAGATGCAACACTTCATTCTTCCAACTTTGGACTGCAATTTCTCATTCATCCGGAATTGCTTTCGAGATTCCAAATATACCATGATGATCTACTCGACAAGTAAAATAAGTTGGTCTGTTTACTTTTGTAACTTGACCATCGGATCAAGTCCGAACATTCGACCGAAGTTGACACAAAGTCACACCTTTTCATTTTCCCAGTTTTAAACTTAACCAATTTTTGGTTAATTTTTGAACCAATTCCAACAGAAATTACGATTAAAAATCGAAAAGAAAAGATGGAAAACTAGTCAAGATTTTGCCCAATTCCACCGCTCGCCTAGTGCTTGAATGGTGAGCGAGCGATAAGACTCACTCGAGTGATAGGTCTTTGCATATAATAACGCCACTGGCGCTCGAGCGACCCGCCAGTGGTAGGCTAGGGACAGAATGGGTTGCATCCCTTCATAAAGTCTAGTGAATTTTGGGGGGTATCTCTTCACTCACATCCCCTCTTCTTCTATAAATAAGATCCTTGGGACGTCCATTAAAACATCCCAATCATATGCAATTATAGCATTACATAAACATCATATTTTCTTAGCTGAAAATCTATATCAAAGTCTAGTTTTTCGTTTAACTTTGAAAGGAGTTAAAAAGCCATCTTCTGGTTCATTGTTCTTGTGTTTTGAAATGCTACAAAAACAAGAAGATAGTCTGTATATATTGGGAGTTGATTGTTGACGTTCATAGGCACCATTGCGAGGCAAAATCGACTCGTGGGCAACGATTTCAAATCTTATTTTGAATTTGCATCCATTTTACTTGGTGAGACTTTGTCATTTTTTCGTTGGCGTTTCTTTGTTGTTTTATTACTCATTTTCTTGCCGTTAGTCTGTCCAATTTGGTAAGGTTGGTAAATTCATATTTAGTTAAGGAAATCATTCGAATCCAATTGGCGAAAAACAACGATAATATAAATTGTTAAAGCTGGCTTTGTGAAGGTAGTTCATTAGAGAATTCTTTATGATCATTATTATACATTTTGTCAAAACTGTTTTTCACTGTTTTCATGGAGAACAAAACCATTTTTTTCATAGCGATTACATTGTTGTCTTTCTTGTGATGGTAGGCAATTGTACTAATGTTGTTTCTGTTCTTAAAAGGAATTCATGAAAATGCTGCCTTCCAACTCTTCTGAACCAAGATATCAGCTTCGAAGAACTAGTTCAGTCTGATAAGCAAAGCGTTCGTCGTGGCTCTTCTAAAAATAGGATTTTAGTGGTTTGTTTACCAGATGAGCCTCTAAGAAACTAAAATGTATTGTGCGTATGCATGCGAGCGAACTTGTATGTGGCTAAATGCTCTCCCCATTCCATAAACTTCAGCAGTTGAAAGGAATCAGATTTATCCACCACAGCTAGTTAGAACCTCTATATAGACTACCCAAGTGTGAAAAGAAGAAAGTCACATCCTTGACTGAATGCTTGATGCGTTTGATTAGATCGGATTAAACTGTACAATGGACAATTTTATATTCACTTCACCGAACATATTATCGAGGGCATCAAGACCGGATTAAGTGTGCAAGTGCGAGAAGGTAATAGCCATGGCAACTATGCGGAAATGATAGCACTACTTGTATATAATTTTTTGCACCTTAAAGTATTCATGTACTCGCATGAGGCACACTTGAATAAAATATTCGAACGGGCCCCAGCCCATGTGAGTGTGTGACACTTTGATGTACAAAAAATTATATATACCGAACGTCCATGCGGAAATTAGAGTAGCAGAGAAGGTGTGGAAAGTATATATAGTGCCTGATGTAGTATATTCTCTTATTTCTTCCATGAATAAAATTATTTTTATTCAGAAAATTTAGAAAAAGAAATTTTTTTTTGTGATTTTCGTTCTACTTCACAAATTACTTTTGCTCCCTATATTTTCTTCAATTTTTTCTTTCTATGAATTGCATGAACTAATAATTATTTTTATTTTTTGTACCGTCCAGTTCATTTATATGATTATTATTATTATTATTGATTTTTTTTTACTTTTTATTATACTTTATTTTTCTCACATTGTTTTTCATTTCTTCATTTTCCTTAAATGTTTCTTATTGGAAATTTGTTTGATTTTATTTTTACAAATTCACACTCAACCTTAATGTTTTCTTTTACATGTTTTTTTAATTTATTTTCCTGTCCTCGTGATTAAGTATATTTTTATTTCCTGCTTGACATGATGAAAAATCGAAGAGCGAAGTCATCTCAAGCATAAGACAACCAAGGTGATTGTCTATGATCCCATATTATGACAATGTCCAAAATTACAAAATTAGTATAAACAGATCGGATAATAAAATCAAAAATAAAATTTTGTAAAAGAAGAAAATGAGGAAAATAGAGTGAGCAACTTAATTTGTGAAAATCATATAAATAAATGGAATGGAATAAAAGTAAAATTGAGATGGATGATGAATAATGAATATTGAATGGATAACTTTGTGTAAATATAAATGAGCAACATTTTTAGTAAGAAAACAATAATAAAAAATAAATGTTATTTAATTCTGAGTCAACACGTAGTTATCATTATTGGTAAAGTTGGTTATTACTCATTTAATTAGCTTTCAAATTTTAATACAGTTAATTGCTATGTAGGATTTTCATTCTTCACATAGAATTTTTTTACCACATGAACGAACGAAATTCAGATAGATGATGAGAGAGTAATATTATGTAAAAGTAAGTGAATAATTAGTGATATTTTATTTTTTAGTGAACAAGTAGTATTCAAAAATAAATATTGGTGATTAATTTTTTTTTAGCTTTTTTCTAAGAATTGTTTGATAGTCATTATTTCTCAAAAAATAATGTTTTAAAAAATAATTTTTTAAAAAAATGCGTGAGTAAAAAGTAAGATTTTTTTTTTAAATTTACGTGTAAAATATTCTATTGCGTATGTGACTAAAAATATATATATATGTAAAACAAAGAATTTTGAAATAAATTGCTAAATGAAAAATGAAAATGGTCTAAAAGTCGGAAATAAATTGCTAAATAAAAAGTGAAAATAGTCAAAAACTCGGAAAACACGAAAAACACGTCGTCCGCACCAATCAGGCATGTTTGTTTTCATATGAAACCAAAAGTCACCGTAATTTCTAGAACCGCACATTTACAATCCCCCCTTTTCTTCCTAACATCAGTCCACTGCGCACCTGAACAAGATCAGCTGGTATCTTACACTCAGATCTTTTGGATTATTAAGTTTCTTCTAATTTTTGTATAGTTAGTTTTTTTTTTCCAATTGATTTCTAATTTACACGCGTATTTATGTCTTCTTGATTCTTAACTGTGGGATTGTAGTGATGCGAGTGATTTAGGGAAGCATGAAATGGAAAACCCTTGTTGTTTTGGTTAAAATTCTTGATTTTTGTTGGAATTGTGGAAAATTTGAGAGAATTATTGTCAATTTGACTTTGATTGACTTGATAGTTCTTAGTCGGATTTTTTTGAAGTGTAGCTTTGGTGAATAATGCTGATTTGATTTTTTTGATTTGATAGCTTATTTTACACGATCATTAGCATCCGTATGTTATTTTCTTGAATCTATTAAGTGGGAGTTTTATTGATTAGGGAAGCATAAAACGGTGAAAATGAAATGCCCATGTTATTTTTGGTTTCAATTATTGTTAATTTGCTTTCTTGGTTTTTCTCACCTTAATCTGAGAATTTTGCCCGTGTAATTTTGGTGAATATTTTTTATTTGATTATTCTGATGGTCATGCAATGAATTTTGCAATTATTATCGATCATGCGTTTGTATATGTAGTTTCTTTTAATTTCTGCCACACACACAATTTTTTGCCTTTTTCACAAATATATTTAGGCAATTATTCTTCTGTTTTTTTGGCTGAGTATAAAAAATCTGAATATCATGGTATATGTTTATATAAATTAACATTCTCTTTACCATGTTACTTCCTTTTCCTTATTAGACTCTAGAATTGTAGCAAATAAAGGTAAAATTAAGGGAATGTAAGAAAGATGAATAAATGTGTGTAGTAGAAAAAACTCAGTTCAATTCACCTAAAGAAAAGGAAAACTTGGTGATTGGAAAGAGAGTGAGATAATGATATTTGAAATTACTACACAAGATGTGCATGTTATGACAGTTTATCTTTTGCCCTAGACTAAAACAAAAGAAAATGATGCCCCCCCCCCCCCCCCCCTCCTTTCTTTGTTCAAATTAAGTTTTGGGGGGTATTTTTCCTTTGTAGATAATTATATTTAGCGTATGTTTTACACCTTCTTTGTTGTGATATTATATCGTTTTTATGTTTTTCCAGACTATATCTAAAATTTTTTTCTCATGAGTAACAGTCAAGTATCTTATTCTAGATTCCCGCCTGTATTACGTTCCTTTGGTTTATTTGAACATTTTTCATAGGGCATAGAGAACTTTTATGATATTGACAATAATTAGCTCCCGTTTGGCCCCCATTCTCTTTCTCATTCTTTTTCTCATTCTTATTTTCAACCACACAATTTTTCATAAAATAATACTACACGCAAATCGAAAACTTTTTATTCTTTTTCAACCACACATTTAAAAAAAAAAAAAACACTATTTCAAACATTAAAATTTGGAAAGAATGGGGGCCAAACGGGGGCTTAATCTCTTGTGACTATCACACTGTTTATCATATTATGAACTTTTGTATTCTGTATTTTTGCATCGAAAGGATTTTTCTTCCGTTAAGAAGTGCATGATCTTTTATCCTTATTCGGTCCCATACATATAAAGTTATCACCCATCCGTCAGGGTTTCTTATGATATCTGTAATTCAACTACAGCTTAATTTTTCTGTGCAAATGATACAGCAGTCATATTATCAGTAGCTGTACCAGAAAGGATGTCAAGTGGCAGAAATACCCATTTCTGTTACCAATGCAGCCAGCCAGTTCGGCTTCGAGGTCATAATTTGACTTGTCCATATTGCGATGGAGGCTTTGTACAAGAGCTTGACGAGTTGGTTGGTGCTCAACGGCAGGATTTTTTTGGATCTCATTCCAGAGATATGTCTGATTTTGGAATGATGGAACCTTTCCATGATCCAAGATTTGGGATCATGGATGCATTCGCGGCACTTATGAGGCAGAGAATGGCTGGGAGAAACCCAAACTTCGACATTAGGACACGATCAGGTGCTACTTCTGAAAACGGCATGGCCTTGGGTTCTGGACCTTCTGGTCCATTGTTGATATTTCACGGGCAATCACCAGCCAGCATGTCTGATAATAATGCATTTGAGTTCTTTCTCAATGGAACCCCTGGAATGGGGCAGCGTCGAGCTAATTTTGGTGATGTTTTTATGGGGCCTGGACTGCAGGAATTGATTGAGCAGCTTACCATGAATGATAGGCAGGGGGCACCTCCGGCACCTCGTTCTGCAATTGATGCTATGCCCACTATTAAAATTACTCAGAGGCATCTTAGTACTGATTCTCACTGCCCAGTTTGTAAAGATAAATTTGAGTTGGGTACTGAAGCTAGGCAGATGCCATGCGATCATATTTACCATTCTGATTGCATTACTCCTTGGTTGGTTCAACACAATTCCTGTCCTGTTTGCCGTCTTGAGCTGCCTTCACAGGGTTCTGGAAGTTCTCGTCCCAACTGGAATTCGAGAACTGGGAACGCAAGTGGCAGCGGTGGTGCCCACAGCAATGGAAGGGTCAACGTGCAGCATCAGGGGAGAAGGAATCCATTCTCGTTCTTGTGGCCATTCTGATTGTCAAATCAAAGCACTCGCCATTATGCTGAAACAGGAGGAATTAGTTCAACAGCATTTAACAAATATAATCGTGAGGGTACACTATCCTGGATGGCATTTTGATTATTAAGGTTGAGTTTGCAGCAAACTTTTTCTCTTTGTTTCGCTTTTTCTTGTCTGTTTCTTATAGCGTGCCTCTGTAATCTTCTTGTGATTTAGCAAATATTTTGGCGGTGTAGATATGTTTCATAAAATTGTCTTAAAGATTTAGTAAGTTGAACAAGGGTGGCCGAATACTTAAATTTTCCATCATGTAAAAATGCCTTTGGTTTTAGCTGCTCATTGTTGCCTTGGTATGTTGATATATATCGAAGATTGGGTAAAAGTCGCCTGTGGTTATTGAACTTGTAGCTAAATTTTCGAGATTGTCAGTTATCTTATAATTTATTTGAACGTTGTTTACTCTATCTAGTATCGTTAGTAAAACTCTCTGAAATGTCTTGCATGGTTAACTGAAAATTCATAGCTTTCATATCGATTCAGTTTTACACCCATCAATATACGCTGTGAGTTGGTTAGGATGACGATGGGGAAATGTGGATTTGGTATGAAGACAGGTAGGAGTGTTGTGAATGTGCAGATACGGGCTACCAAAGTGGTTGGGTGCCAGCTTTGTGCGCTAAAGGGCGAGATTTTGTTAGGTGCCCATCATTTTCTACACTGTTCCCTGTTCTCATCAGCGCAGGTGGTTTGATTGAGAAATTTCGAAGCTTACTTACCATGTTGCTTTGTTTTTATACCGATAGAGGGATGTGCCATAAGTATTCATCTTTTGGGTCTATGATGTGGTGATCGAGTTTTGCTGTGTTCACACCACCTCTCGACCTTTTTTATGTTAAATTCAGCGCGTCTGGGGGTCATTTTGTATTTAACTTGTAGAGAAATTAACGCCGTTATACTGTGCATGTTAGTGCATTGTGCTGCAATTATTGATTAAAATAAGTGGAATGACCTTTTTAGTTACTTTACCAATTAAGTCACTCTTCTTTAGAAAATGGCGTTTTTGGAAATAAGCTCATGTGGATTCAATAATTATTGCACAAATGGAAGCCACCTACCGTCAACACATGGGTGGATTTATAGTGGGGTAGTGGGATCATCTGCTATCACACTAAATTTTAAATCCAAAATTTTGCATAACATTTTTCAAGATTTTCAAAATTTTTTTTATTAGTTTTCAATTTTGCTTCCACAAATAAAATTTTGTGAAATTTGACTCACAACTTGAAATTCTAGTGCTGCCCTGCCTTTACAACAGTCAAAAAAGGGATTAAGATCTGGACAAAATGACTCCCAGACACAATGCTCAATGATGAATCGATGTCATAGGTCAATACAGTTTTGCACTTTTGAGTATGTTTCTTAGGGTTTTTGGATTTTATGATGTTCTTTAGAGTGATCAAGTTTTGTCGTGCTCACACTGCTGTTTTGCTTTTCTCTCATCACCGTTGGTTTTTATTTTGTTAGCAATGGTTTTGTCAACATGTTCAAAATGCTTCAAGGACGTAGTTGGAGGGTTGAGGAATGTCAAGAGTGAACTAGAGAAGTTACCCATAGAAAGGATCCTGAGATGCTATTGAAATGGTGGATATCCCGATTTCCTAGGCATGTTACACCTCTGCTCGGGTCAAGGCTATCACCAGTGGCGGATCCAATACTTAGCGAGTAGGCAATGTCGTTCGTCCTAGATCCATCGGAATTTAGAGGTTGATTGGCAACAAGATCGGTTTTTACAGGTTGGCATTGGCATTGGCCATGAACCGTGAAGTCTATGAAGTATATGATATGTTCGGACCTTTTTCCTTTTACAGATAATGGGCTTTTTTTTAATAGAATTTAGAACATTTGGCCCAAATCCAAAGGCCTGTAGCTGAGGCGGGAGGAGGATTGGTCTAGTCCAGTTTGTATGTATAATATACTTGTCTTGCATGTTGTTGCCCCCAATCGACTTCCAAAATCAAAAGAATACGGCAATTCCAAAACCAAAATCCACGTCCTTGGAATGCTGGAGGAACATTTTCTAGCGAAAACCCACGTGTTGATGAGGTGATTAAAGTTAAAATTTTCTATATTTTCATTTTTTTTTATCTGGTTTTGATTTGTTTGTTGCTGCTGATGCAAATGGGTTGAGTTGAACAAAATGGGATTTATGGTTTTTGTGAAATAATTCTACTAATCCCATGAAAAAAACCTCTGTAAATAGAATTAAACATTGATAAATTAATAAATTGTTCGAAGATGACTCGCCTTTGATTGAGTTGAATCGGGTTTGATACACACATAAGCCCTAAATTCCAAGAGAAATGCTATTCGTACAGACACATTTGCACAGAGTCTGTACAGATGCTCTCACATGGTGTATGCGGTCCACATGTGGGGTCCACCTCCATGTGAGAGGCCTTGTACAGACCCTGTGCAAATGGGTCTGTACAAGGAGTTTATTCCAAATTCCAATCCTAAATGACCACCTCAACACTTGTCTAGTGAATGAGTTAATCGACGTCATGTAAATTCCCTAGGTTCTATTTTGTTTAATTTTCCTTACCTTTTATTTTTTGGCATAATTAGCAAAAATTGTCCCTACCTTTCAATAGTATTATGCAAAACGTCCTTACCTTTTATTTTTTGAGCTTTTCACCCCTAGATTTCACATTTCATTGCGCAAAAGGTCATTTTCATCCATTTTTTTAATAAAATGACGATTTTACTCTCATATTCAAATAAAACAAAAAGAAAAAAAAGAAAAATAAATAACTATCATAGTCCTAAATCTTTTAAAACATTACAAATAAGTCTAAATTCTCCACTACCATCACTTTCACAACCCCACTAAGCCGTCACCTATAGATCCATATAGCACCACCTTTCGACCACAACACCCATCGGACTCCACCACCAGTCTCGCCTCACTCTCCTCAGTATCCTCCTCCATAGTATTGGTCACCAATCTGTCCGAAACAACCGCATTTACAACCTAAAATACCAAATTGTTGCATAAACCCTTCATAACATTCCCACTTTTGGGGCCACCCACGGTCACGCACCACCATAGACAAATCTATACATGGCCTCACATCAATCAAAACTGCCTCGAATCATTTTATTGTAATTCCAGAACATTCGACAATGACGACGTCCATTTTGCCAAAATCTTCTCATTCAATTCATGCATCCCACAACACTAAATTTCGAAATTGGCATCAATCGAGCCATACAACATTACTATTATATATTTTTCCTAATTTACAAGTAATAGAATCTGCATTTATAAGCTGCAAAATATACAGGGCAACAAATTTACAGCGATTCAGTTTACAAGTATTTACCAATAATGGTGCCTCTGAAGTCTTTAAGAAATTTAAGAGGATCGAACTACGGGAGATCACAGCCATCAGGTTTCCAACGCCATTTGACAATATCAAGGGCGTTCGACTTGTTACTGCCCAGGCAGTTCCACCCTTTGAAAATCTCCTTGCAAGTGTGGTCGTATCGTATCGAGGATGGCGGTGGAGTCCGGTGGGCATGGTGGCCGAAAGGTAGTGCTATGTGGTTCTATAGGTGGCAGCTTGATAGGTTGTGAAAATGGTGGTGGTTGAGAATTTATAATTTTTTTGTAATTTTTTTAAAAATTTAAGGATTATGGTTGCAGTTGGTAATTCATTTTTCCTTTTGTTTTATTTGAATAAGAGGGTGAAATTGTCATTTTATTGAAAAATGATGAAAATGACATTTTGCAATGAAAGGTGAAAGGTAGGGATGAAATGAAAGTTAAGGACATTTTGCACAATAACATTGAAATGTATGAACTTTTTGTGCTAATTATGCTAAAAAATGAAAGGTTGGGAAATGTATGAACTTTTTGTGCTAATTATGCTAAAAAATGAAAGGTTGGGACGTTTTGCACAATAACATTGAAAAGTATGGACCTTTTGTGCTAATTATCTTTTGATTTAACGAAGCATTTTAATGGAATGTTGATAGAAGGACGTTTTGCATAAAAAAAAGGTAAATGTGAGGGTGAAATCTGTCAAAAAATGAAAAGTAGAGACGTTTTGCACAAAAATCTAGAAAGATAGGAACGTTTTGTGCTAATTACCCTTTATTCATTTTTTCTTCTTCGGGAGTTGTTTGTGTGAAATTTCACGTTGGTGCTCAAAGAATTCCTTTAGCCTATTTAATCATTGAAGTTGAATAATAATACATATTGTGTCACTTTTCTTGTGAAAGTAACGTCCAGTTTGAAGTGATGCTTGTTAAATGTTATGGTTGAGTAGGGATGTTAATTAATTCATCAGTTGTAATATCTTGGACTAATATATTGATTGTTATAATTTTTTGAATTTATTCTAATCCTACATTTCGTATCATGTACATTTTTTTCTTATTATTTTAGGTTGTATTGAATTATAATTTTATATCTATACAATTTCTATATTTTAGTGTATTTATATATTGATTGAAGATTTTTAATATTATTTAATTAAATATTAATAATTGATCGCTCTACTAAGGTGATCCCAGTCAATGACCACTCTAACTCATCAACATTTCTAGATCTGTCATTTATAGGGTTGCACAAAAAACCTGTGAAATCGCAAACTAAACCGAAACTATTGCTTCGGGTCCACGTGGACCTGCAATTTTTTCTCCCTCAAATCGAACAAAATCATTTCAAAATAGTTTGGTTTATGTTTCGATTTTCAAAAATTGCACAAAATCAAATTGAACCCTATCTAAATTTTTTAATTAAAATATTAATTTTATTAACTTATAAATTTTACATTTTTCACTTTTTAGATTAAATACTAATTTAGCAATACAAATAACAACAAGCTTATTAAATAATCATAAAAAGTAAATTATGTTCATTATTATTGGCTATGGTTTAACAAGTTTACAACACATGTTCTTACCCGATATCTAAATTAAACTAAAATTATTCTCAAATCATATGAAATTAAAAAAAAAAATCGACAATCAAAATCATAATCCAACAAAACTACAGTGGCAAATCACACCAGAGTTTCAGAAACCATAACATAAACTCTCATTTTTCAAACATTTGACGCTTGTCTATCACTGTTAAACGAATCGCTTGTTGCTTTTTGCCTGTTAGTCTGCTAATTTTTGTCTAAATTGCCACTTTCGCTCCTCTATCAATGAGTCTCAAATTCTTATTCAAGCAATTTTCCATTGTTCTTTTTTTATTTGTTGTTTTTAAACTTATTATATACTTGTAAGTTGTGATTTGGATAGAAAATGAATATTTGTGTGCTTAGATGATTAATGAATTTGTTTGTGGTTTGGAAAGAACGACGGATAGAACGTATTGATTGTGTGAAAA